ATAAGAAATAAATTCTAACATAGGACAATTTATATGTATTTCGAGGTAATTTTTTAATATTAATAAATACAAAAATATATCTATGTGTAGGCTTACTAAAATAGAACTTTGTTGTTACAGAACGCCATTTTCCAATTTAAACCTCTATTTTAATAAATAAACTATGTTATCACTTAAAAAAGATTTAAGCTGGCAAAGAACACGTAGGCACGAAACAGCCAATTGGTTGTAGATCCGATTTCGAATACCCAAGAAATTAATTGGTATTGACGAAACCTTGAATGTTTGCTGCTACATAATTGAACCTGAATAAATGGTGCGTTTATTGCTAAACTGAAGTCAGCTGCATGCTACTTTGATGCAAATGATTTGCTACAAATTTAATACTTGATTAATAAAAATCAATGTTGATTACTTGAAATGGTTTATTATAGTGACTAATATTTGACCAATCGTAAGCTTATCTTTGAGCTGATTGATTATTAGTTAGTTATATTATTACTTTTTATTCTTAATAATTAAATTCAATTTTACTAAATAAATAGTTTTCTTGTATTTCATGAATTCTTGTTTTTTTTTTATTAATTTAAGAATCCCTTTTTCGTAGTGAAACATAATTAAAAAAATTTAAAGTTGTCAGTTGTAATAAACATTCCACAAATACTACGGCTTGTCAGTTGTCGGTTTAAGGTAAATATAATCTCTTAATTGTATGTTTTAAACAGAGCACGTAACCTAATATGTACCTACTATATAAATAAAGAAACTTTTTACTTAGCTTTAAGGCGCCCCTTTTCCACATAGCTTGTACGGTAAATAATTTGTCACTAAAGAATAATAATTCAACATTATTATTGTCAGGGCATTTTTTCTATTGTGTGTTTTTTACCTATTTTTAATTTAAACTAGGTTCCCCTAAATATGCTTTTTGTAGTTCTTCAATCAATGAATAAATCCCACTTTTATCCAATAAAATAGTAAATATTTTGTTTACAAGAAGAAAATTTAGCCAATTAACATTTTTTTAGAAATAAAATGGGTTAATTCTCACGATATTCACCAATAAGCTCCCTCCAATTACCAAGAAATGAAATTGCTTGACAGAATGCCATGAAGTTCCAAAAATGAGGTGAATGATTAAGGGAGTTGAAATCACGGTATAGTATTTCTGTTGTATGTATTTCACATAATTAGTATCGACAGGTAGAACTAATTATGCCAGTAAATTATGCCATGTAAACTGCTTATTACCAAGGATCCTTAAATTAATCGTGGTCTTTGCCAACTGAAATTTGGTCACAAATTTAATTAATATTTTCAATGGGGTTTATTTTATTTATTGATTGAGCTCACTTGTATGCAATTTCAATTTATCAGTTTCCTTTCGCTTCTACTACTATTAAATACTGAGATTAAGCGAATTAAAATATGCAAAATCATTATTCGGATGTCTTTTTCATATTTTATTTTTGTAATAATTATATGGTTACTTTAATCTTTATTATTTTCTGAAGAAAGACTGGAATTAAAAAAAAAACTTTAAAGAGCTTTGTGAACATTGAACGCTGTATTGGCTTCCGTGAGATCGATAGCAATCAAGTCGTAAGCGAGCGTGATGCGGGCGCTATTTCGCGTAAAAACACATTCACGTATTATTATAACAAAGATCAAAAACGTTTCATATTGATTTATCAGTCGTCGATAGATTTGTTTTAGTTGCGAATGGAGCTTGTCTCGCCCACACTCTGATTTATTCTTTGTATCGCAACCAAAATATCTCACATATATTATTCACTGTACAGAATTTTTAGATATATTTAACGCATTATACGTTTCCTTGTATTAATTTTATAAAGAGTAAAGATCTATATTTATAATAGTTTCCATCCATGTTTGACGTCCCAAAGCGTTGGAGACTAAATTGAATCCAGATTCTTTTTATATTCATTGATGTGAAAGAAGGAACTAAATTTGTATATTTTCAAGGCACCGATTTACACATTTCTCCCACAGTTATTTCATCTGTACTGATATTATAAAGAGATTTGTATTTTATATTTTCCAGAAATGAAAGGTTTTAATCACCATTAGAAAAGTATATTATTCCAAACATTTAGTAAACGTCCAGCCATACGAAGCCGGGCCAAGCCATTAGAATAATATACCTTAAAATACACTTTGCACACTAGATATATGTTAATTCATTATAAAGTCCACTGAACCTACACCTGAAAGTCATTAATGAGTAAACAAGATTCGACATCTCCCTACTAAAAATACAGATTACTTATGCGATCCGTTTGTATCATTTGTGGTCTTGCCCTTAGATATCAGATATATATTGACTTGTGCTAGCTTATTAAAATTTTCGAATAAAATAAAAATTATAGCACTCGCAATAAGAAACTATACCAACAAATTATAGCCATAAAACTAATTTTCATTTATGAAAACGGCAATATTATATCTGGTTGAGTTTGTCGGTAGTTGTCTGCTTCGCAGAACTGTGCGCGTTCTTAATTTAGTCGTTGTATAATTGTCGGTAAGTGGCAATTACAAACGATCACGTCTAGGTATATATTTATCTCTCTCGCTGACCACGTTTGTGTCGAAATTATTGGCTTATAATAATAATTGAAAGCCCCAAGGGCTTAGTACCTAGTCCAGCCATAAGTTGTGTTACAAATGTAATTAATGCTTTTTTTTAATGAAGTAAAAAAAAGTTAATATTACAAATTATTAAAATTTTATATTAACCGAGCTGTCAAATTAAAAAAAATATTAACCGTCTCTGGAACTTATATATTTCATAAAGGTAATTTTGTTTAATCCTTGTACCAAATACATTGTGTCATAAAAGCAACAAATAGGAACACGTTGTTTGATTCACGAATACAAAGACTTAAGTTTGTTGAACCTGATCATTTATACAACAAATTCAGCATTCCAAAACATCAAGCGGGACCGGAAAGTACAATGTATTTTTGTCCGAAAATAAATTATAAATCGCTTTGAAAAGTTTACTTACTCCCACGATTATTCTCAGCTTTCCTCCTAGTGAGTTGTAAGCCGAAGCTTTAAGTTCGATCACGTAGCGAGGTTACGTCAGATAAACAAACTATTGATTACATATTGATCTAAATGATGAGTGTGGCCAATCTTCAGTTAAGTGCTAGTCTATCAATATTAATCAAATTATGTATTTATGGAAGAGTTAACCAAATGTCTAACAAAATAGTTTACGAGCCACGCTCCAATATAGTTTTATGTGTCTCATTCCGATCACCCAATTTGTAATGAGAACAGCTGCAATTAGTTCTTAACTTTGCGAAGATTTTATATAAACCTTACTGCAATTTGTATTATCTTTAAAATAGGTTTTTTTTTAAATGTTTCTTCATTTTCTTAAAATACAAATATTTTTCTCTAAGAATCCCTCTCGAAGTAAGAAGTAGGCTTTTACTTCAGAGAGGTCGAATTGTTTCTAATATTAACATCCCAGTCTAGTTATATCTAACTAGGGTATTTCTTAGAAAATGTCAAGCCTGGACATAATTTTGTGATTTCTAAGAATGTAAACTTTCATTAACCATACTTTAGTTATTTAAGGTTGTCACAAATAATTAAAATAATACTTTGTATGGCCAGTAAATGTCAATTTAAGTTGTAAGTTATCTGATTAAAATAGTAAAAATATCACTAATTAGTATTAAGACAAAATCATAATCTGGACATGGCGAGGGCAGTTGATATTTTATTTCCATGCCTTCGACTAACGCCAATAAAAATGAATTTATTTCATAATTGAAATAAACATACTTTAACAATATCTAGGTCAAAGTAACAGACATTTTCTACAAATTCCAGGCTCATGTGTGCTACCTCAACACGACACCATAGCACACTGAACAGTTTAAATACGTTTTAAAAAGTTTTGAGTGGATTTCAAAAACCATTTGCGATCGGTACCTACTTATATTTTTATGTACTTTAAATATTTATTATCATAAATCCATTATCTAAGAATTTTGGAAAGCGATCAAAGAAAGATTTAAATATCTAATATTAATATAGTGTACGACAAATGCTTTTTGTGTAGGTACTTTAGTGTTAGTGATATCAGATATTTTCCTAATTTTGGTCTGAATTTGAACATTATTTAGTTTTAAATGAGAGAAATTTGATATTAGTAATGATGTTCGATATTTATGCTACAATACATAATGATTTATACAGTCAATATGACCTCCGCATGAGAAAACACGACACCAAACTTGCAACAGCAGATTAAACGCAAACCTTCAGCTAATATTGAATTTCATAGGCATCATAATTCCAATTTGCTAAATTACATTTGATTTCATTTCCTTATCTGTAGCTACAAAATTAATGGTCGTTTTTTCTTTCATAGATATTCTTTTTATCGCATCTTATGGCTGACGGTGTTAATTATGATGTTTATTAGTTTGTAATAATAACTTTATTCTGACAAGGGTCGTAAACTCATTATACCAATACGTAATGGCACTCTAACTCAGAGAAGTGCTTTGCGGCTGCAGGAAGATCTGTTATAACAATAATTTCCGTTATCTTTCCTTCGGGTTTATAAGGTCGCTTAAATACTTTCGATTAATATTAAATTATATTGTACAAAAACATTAATAAGAAGTGTTTATATTAATGCTACTACGGATACATTAAAATAAGGAAAGTATATACTTTTAATTACGATTAATAATGTACACAGTATGTGATATATTTAAATATCTTCTGTATATCTAAGTATTACGAAATGATATTGATTACAATACTTTAGGCGGCGGGGTATATAAATGTGGGCGGGCGGCGTGTGAGTTTTGTCCGTGTGCATCGTATGGTTTCTACAACCAACGAGGCTTCCCGCACCGAAATTAAAAATTATCTCAATTCGTCGAACTATTTTTGAGACATGTATTATTTTATATACATTAGTATTTTTTTATATGAAAGTTCCATCTTACCTTTTGGTATAATTGCACTTGATAGCAACGAGTATGAGCAGCACGTTAGCGAGTAGCGAGAGCAGGATGAGGGGCACGTAAAGAGCAACGAGCACCACGTCTGGCTGAAACAAGATCTCGAGCCCCGCCGCTGCGTGTATCCCGTTCAGATTGGCCAGACCAGAGTTCAAAATCTCAACCCACTCCGTACTGTTCATACTGTCTTCCATTCTTCATTTACATTATGACTCGGTGGAACTCAAAACTGCACTGCACTGCGTGTACTGGGCGAGACTTTAATTAATTTCAATAACATATTTTAGATAGAACGGCGTAACACTGATCGAATTGGTAACATTCTAATGTTAAATTGACGGCACGTTAGACTAAAACATGATTATTGCAAGGCGAAAAAAAGTTCCTGCGTAAATCACTTCAGTATTGACACAATGTAGGACGGTGAGACTCGGAAAGCGACTGAATGAAGGTTTCCCGCACGCGAGAGAAAGAGACCCACTAAACTGAAACAGCGATAACAATTAAAAAAAGGTGGATTAAGTATTGTTTTTTATACTGTTTTGAAAAGAGGCTTTACTTGTGACATTGAAACGTGAATTTTGGAATGCGAACTTAGTAAAACTTAAATTCTAAGGCTATAAAGTTCCATTAATGGCTCTACGAGTAACCATTCGTAGTGTAGGGCATACTTTATTACCAACGTTATTAAGCCATAAACAATTGAAGAATGAAAGAGTCATGTCATCGCTATTTTAATGATTCTGCTTGTGTTTATGTGCGTTGATACACGACGTTTACACGACTAACAAACACTTGAATAATATTTATTTAATAGTTTTAAACGTTTTTTTATTCGCGAATAAGTAAACGCTGGCACATCATCACTGAGAGTATCATATCAGTCATCACACACTTTGATCATACAATACCATAAATTATAAAGAGTACAAACTTCGCGCTTAAAATAATATTTTAACAGACACATTGGAAGCTTGTAAAGATGTTAATCATTATTATTTTGTAGTCATTTGTGATGAACAAAGTCACATGTTTGGTGTGAATAATGATAGATAATAGAGGGGGAAATGATAAACTTAAACGCGCGCGTCGCCCCGCGAATAACTTTAGGAGTAGGTTCTACGGTAGAAGACGAACGTAGCGTGGCGTAGACCTTACTACGCCATGCTGGTGCAGTGTTACGGTGCGTCGTGATCGAAGTTTCGAGAAAATATGGGATGTGTGCCTTCAATGTGGAAGATGACGTTTATTATTTAAGTTATTGAAACCAGAAGATCTGATAAAGATAAGTTCTCTAAGGGCTTCGACCATGACTGTCATACACGTTTAATAGCTCCATGGATTTATATTATGTATAACCATTAAAGCTCGGCCTCAAACGACCTCTATAAACGTAAGTCTGTCGTAAAGCGACTATAGAGAACAACATCTGGGAAAAATACTGAACTTCCTTGATTTAGATGTAGCGTCAATAAAAGATATACTTTTATGTATGAACTTTAAACTTAAATTGTTTTTAAATCATAGTGAAAGCTACCTACACTTATATTTTAGTGTCGTTTATTCACAAAAACTTTTTTATTTCATATAATATGTTTAACTAAATAAAGTACTGTGACTCATATATGCATTTAATATTTATTTAATTGCGATGTAACGGTATAACACCGTAAAAAGCCTTTTAGACGTGAGCTTTTTATAAAGTCCACGGCATCTATGAGAAGCGAAATTTCTCGCCCCATTTTGTCATACATCTGTACTCCATAATTCATACTTTGTCATATTTCCAGAAGAGGTCGCTGATATACGTTCCTGTAACACGAGAATGTTCGAATTATATTGCGTTACGTAGATTGTATAAATTCTGATTTAAAAGGATAAATAAATTCTTCTTAATAAAAATAAAAATAAATTAATTGATTAATTTCTGTTTTTTTCTTCTTAATTTAAATTCTTTATTATTATACTATAAGTTGAAGTTTTGTACGAGCCAAGGCTGTACATTTTTCTCACTCAGGATTTCTAAGTTTTAAAGCGTAGCGATTACCCAATTCGTCGGAGTTACACCCCGAGAGAATAGCCAGACGTAGGCACTCTCTTCGACTGTTACTTTGCATTCATTCGTTACATAGCAATTAACATTTCATTATTTCGCTTTTATTCTATTGTTTTACGCGAGTGGTTAATGTAGAGTAAAAAATCCTCTTCTATTTAAAGCACCCCGATGAATCAGGAACCGTACAGTCAGTGGCGTAGCAAAGGGGGGGCGGCGGGGGCAGGCCGCACCGGGTGTCACCTTTTTTGGGGTGACGCCCACCCGGTCTCTCAACTTTAATAACAGTGTACAAACAAAAAAAACTCGCTAGCATAAAAATTTCTTTTTCAGGGATTCCTCCACTAGCACTAGCTCAGCTCTATGTAGAATTCGGGGATTCCCGCAAAAGAGCCTCCCGCTGTCGTGGGGATTCCCCGCTCCATACTCCCGATCTTTGATGTCTCAGTTGCAACATTTCTCATTTGTTTCGTGAAGTGTGTTGTGTTTGGTTGGCGTGAATTGTTAAACGTGTATTATTCTATAGTGATAGATAATACTTAATATGCTCTAGATTTTTTAAAGTTTATTGTAGAATGGGATTTTACAGAATCTCTTCGAAATCTTATTATTGCACTGAAATTGTTCATGCAATCATAGGTTTACGTGTGAGAGCTTCATGTGAGAGGAGTTTCAGTAAATTAAAATTAATAAAAAACTGTTTGCGGGCAAAAATGACCCAATCGCGGCTTAGCGATCTTGGTATATTAGCCACTGCGTACAGTTTTAATGGTTAGCCATTAAGCCCTAAGATTTTTTAAATTAAATTAATTTAATTTTATACTTCTATTTTTATATTGCTACACATAAAACGTAACTGGGAAACCACAGGCTCATTAAAAACTGTTCTCTCAACATCATTTACATCAAAGGTGCACCAAAGGAAAGTAAAATTAGATATAAGTTAAACATGTTGTTGCACAATACGTTAACTACTAACAATATACAATTAAATTGTGACTTAGGTACACTACCTAATTTAATGGACATAAATTGTATATTTAAAAATAAGTATGTATTGACAAAGGATAGGTTCCGCCTACCTAATTATTATTTACAACAGATAGCTACTATGCTATCTTACTTTTTATTTACAACTAAAGCTAAACATTTAGCTTTTCAGACAACTGCTTCTATTGAGCAGCTTAGCTTAAGTGAATGTAGTGATACTTGCAGTAGCACTTCATTAAGTATAAATAATTTAAATTAGATAGTGTGACAATAGAGGCAAACTCTAGCAATAATTTAGTACAACTCAGCTCAACACAAACATGTTATATTACTAACAACAACTGTTTAAACTTGATGCATCAAAACATGCAAGGTATGTTGGGCAAAGAATTAGAGTTGGAGTTGTTTTTAAAATCAAGTAAAATTGATGTCCTATGCATTACCGAACATTGGCTTAGAGAATGCCAAATCATCTTTAACTTTGATCAGCACCAAGTTGCAAGTTCGTTTTGCAGATTGTCGGCGATTCATGGGGGCTCTTTGATTATTGTTAATAAAAATTTAAAGTATAAAGAGCGTAATGACATCGTGTGTCTGTCTGTAGAACACTCTTTGGAAGTAGCCTGTATAGAGATTGAGAATTGCATTATTTTAAGTGTTTACAGACCACCAAGTGCATCTTACGATTTTTTTTGAAGAAAAGTTGGAGGAAATTTTGTGTAAAGTTAGTTTTAAGAACAATAAGTATATTATTGTATGTGGTGACTTCAATATAAATTTATTAGAAAATACCTCCATTAGTAAAAAATTCAATCTGTTATTAAAATCTTACAATCTTGTTAACTTGTTTCTTGAGCCCACTAGAATTACAAGCTCCACTGCTACATGTATAGATAATGTATTTACAGATGCAGAGGCAATGCAAACCTCAATTACAACTGATCTTAGCTCAGATCATTGTGGACAGTTAGTGGCGCTAAAATGTAAAGTGGTGAAACAAGTAAATAAGAGCAGTGTGTTTGTTCCAGTGAATAAAAAGCGAATGGTGAGATTTAGACATAATATAGGTAAACGCCTACCTTTATTACCGGTAGGTACTACCGTTGATACACAATACAACAATCTAAGTGATTGTATTAATAAAGAGTTCAACACCATCTTTACCCCAAAGAAAGTCTCTCATTCGCAGTGTAAATCGTTTAGTGATTGGGCGACAGCGGGAATTTATAAAAGTAGACAACGGTTGTATGACCTTTACGCTGAAAAGTCATACAATCATAATGAAGAATTTATTCTTTATGTTCGAAATTATTCGAAATTATTTAAGAAAGTTTGTTACGCGGCCAAGTCTTTAAATATCAAAAACAAGATTAAAAATAGTACCAATAAAACTAAAATGACTTGGAAGATAATTGATAGTGAAACTGGAAGAGTCAGGGATCGCAATCAAGACATCGAACTATGTGTCGATAACACTATAATCAAATCTAACGAAGAGATAGCGATTATTTTTGATAAGTACTTTTCTGACATTCCAATTTCGACTACTAAGTCTCTTCAATCATCTCCCGCCCTCGCCGAATCGCTGCTCAAAGATAATGTAAACGAGTGCAAGGTCAGTTTTTCATTCCGACCCATTGGTGCCGACGATATAGTGAGGATATTTAGAACCATAGATATTAAGAACACTACCGATCTTTGGGGTATTTCTGTAAAAATAATTAGTAGCATAATTGATGTAATTGCTCCCCATCTAGCTATAATTTTCAACAATTGTATTAAAAGTGGCGAGTTTCCCGATCTAATGAAACATAGTAAAGTTATTCCTTTATTTAAAGCAGGTAGTATGTCCGACCCCAGTAACTTTAGACCAATTGCCGTACTACCTACTTGTAGTAAAATATTTGAAAAAATTATATTAAATCAACTGGTAAGTCATTTTAACGTAAACAAATTATTACATAATAATCAGTTCGGTTTTACCAAGGGTCGCTCGACAGCCGATGCCGGTGTTGAGTTATATAGATATATAGTTAAGGCTTGGGAGGAGTCGCATGACGCTTTAGGTGTTTTCTGCGACTTATCCAAAGCATTTGATTGTGTCCAACACGAGACCTTAATCGGGAAACTCCGCCACTATGGCATCAAGAATACCGCACTGAATCTTCTGACTTCCTATTTACACGGAAGAACTCAGAAGGTTGAAGTGAATGGTAAGAGGTCCTCTGGGTCGGCAGTAGATATGGGGTACCACAGGGCTCAATTCTTGGCCCTTTCCTCTTTCTTGTTTATATAAATGATCTACCTTTCATGGTAGAGAGAAAACATCAGATAGTTTTGTTTGCTGATGACACGTCCTTGATTTTTAAAATCAAACGACAAATAACAAATTTTGACGATGTGAACAATGCTCTGTCTTCGATTGTCCATTGGTTTAGTATGAATAACCTTCTACTTAATGCAAAAAAGACAAAATGCATTAAATTTTGTGCAAAAAATGCAAGGGTTATGGATACTAGACCAATTATAAACGGTGAGGAATTGAATCTGGATGATACAACTGTATTTCTCGGAATCACCATGGATTCAAAACTTCAGTGGTCCCCTCATATTAACGGATTGGCGAAGAGACTTAGTTCTGCAGCCTACGCGGTTAAAAAAATTCGCTCACTAACTGATGTCGATACAGCTAGACTTGTTTATTTTAGTTACTTTCATAGCTTAATGACTTATGGCTTATTATTATGGGGTCATGCTGCTGATGTCGAAACTATTTTCATCCTGCAGAAGAGGGCTATTCGTGCAATCTATAATTTAAAATGTAGGGAATCTCTTAGAGATAAATTCAAGGAAATTAATATACTTACCTTTTCCTCGCAATATATTTATGAAAATATTATGTACGTATGTATACAAAAATAGTGATAAGTTTACTAGAATAGAACATACGCACAATGTTAATACACGGAACAAACGCAGGCTGCAATTTCCCCGTACTAGACTATCTAAAGTTAGTAATTCTTTTTTGGGGAAAGGGATACTCTTCTTTAATAAAATCCCAGAGGCTCTTTTATCACTGCCTTTCAATAAATTTAAGAAATGTATTAAAGAAAAGCTGTGTGAAAAAGGCTTACTATAAAGTCAACGATTATCTAGTTGATAAAAGGGCCTGGGACTAGTGCTAGACAGGCTACTTCTAATCAATTTGCGATATTTGTTTTAAATAAGTGTTGTTTGATGATTTGCTGTTTTAAAAGAGTACCGAGAGTTTTTTACGCCGGCTTTTTCTCTCGGCCTACACCATCTGTCTTCTTTGCCGATGAGTAGGGATGCCTTCAAATTTAATGACGTGGAATAAGTGATACATGTATCTTATGTTCCATAATAAACATATTTTATTTTATTTTATTTTATCATAACAGCCTGGGACATAGGAGTTTATGTAGTCAATTTATGGCAAAATATTTCTATTTATTTTTCTTTTTTCGAGCCCCTACTTTTTATTTGGTATTATTTTCAAAGTTACGCAACTATAATATTACGAAACGAAATATAATAAAAAACCGAGACCGGACGGTATGAGTTTGATTCCATGGAAGATGGGCCGGGTGCTGATATGGGGCCCTTCCCATCTACATGGAACCAACAGAGCTGGTGCGGCTTGTGAAGCGGCTGAAAAAGCTAAAGCATGCAAATACAGGGGTCTAGGCTCCGAATATGGTGTCGAGATACTTAGTTTTATGTTCAATAATTGTAATAGTTTGATGAAATATTTAGTTTCTTAAATAAAATATATGTTATAGTAATAAACGTAGTTATATTGTTATTACGCGAAAAGATTGGTGAAAGTATCCTTGGTGTAAGTAATTTTTTTAGGTAATAATAACAAAACCTTCTTCTTTGTACATATTTATTAATTTAAAAAAAAATATCTCGCTGGCAAATAAAGCTATACACGAATTGACTAGAAATATTGTCTTTAATTATAAAATTAAAGTTATATCTTGGTGTTTACTTATTTAATTTGAATAAATATTCGACTATTTATACATGTGTTTTGATTGTATCAAAGCAAATTAATGAATAAAATGCTGAAGCGCTTACACACATACATCGAGAAGTATTTTGAATATTTACAATAATTAGTCTCGGTGATAACATACATATTAGATAATCAATCTCTGAATTCAAAAATATTTCTTAAAATTCTTAAAGTAACATAATATGAAAATATTCTCTTTTACGAATATACTATGAAACTGCATTGGATGTGGTGCTCTCAACTCAATTGTCGTTTACAAGTAATGTGGCTTATTGTGGTCTTTCCCCGAAGGCTCTTTCACGGAGGCCGCCCAATTAACCCTGGCGCAGTGGACGTTGGAGGCTGCAGCGGGCGGAGGAAGGCGGTTCGCGGTGCTACTTCGAAATGTCCCCGTGGTGGCTGTACGCATGCTAGACGTGTTGGACTTTTGACGCAGCCCGTGCATCTGAAATTTTGATAGCAACGGATTATTGATTGAAAGCTGAGATTGAGATAATAAGGAAACTTGCAGCTTAACTATCTAAACCATAAGTATCTAAAACTTACATGGAAGTGAGTACTAGAGTGTATGTTACCGGGGTCGTGACAGAGCAGCTTGCGCAGTGACCGCCGAAAATTACGCGTCATCAGGCAGTAAACAATTGGGTTGATGGCAGAATTCGCGTGACCTGAAAATATGCTATTTAAAAAAAAGATTTCATGGAGACAGCCATAACGTTTAAAGTTTGAATTATTCGCGATGCAATGTTCATACATTTCTCTAATGTGAGCTTTATAGCCAGGTTTTGTTATACATACATACAGTGCCGATACTTTTTAGTTAGTCCAGACGTCAGATCTTGTGTTATATAGGTAGAGGCAATTTTTTGTGTGTTTTTGTTTTCGAATCTTCAAGACAAAACTTAATTGACATATGAAAACGTAATTCTGTAACTCAAAGCTGGACAGAAAAATTTTAGACAATTTGCTCATCTACTTTGCAAATTTACCTCTTTATTCCTTCTTATTAAATTTACATTTAAACTGGTATAGAGAAAAGCTTTGCAACCTGCTAATAAGGTGTAGGGCATGAGTGGCGCGACTGCATCCGGCTGCACGGCGTTGATGTCTACCAACAGCTGCAGGATGTTGTAGGGCAGCCAGCACATCGCGAACAGCACAGCAAGGAGCAGCAAAATCCACGCGACGCGCTTTCGCTCGCGCACCAGACGAATACGCTAAAATCAAATGCACTATTTATGATACGAGAGAAATATATCTAAAAGTAAACAATTTTGACTCGCTAGGTAGGGTTATTAAATAGTATTGACGTGGGGCACAATTGTTTGTGAACGTCGAGATACGCGGTTATTTTAGATTCCGAGTGATCTGGTTGTAAGTAGTTTATTGGCTTTAAACGAGATATTGCATGTTATTGTTATTGAGAATACCAGCAATAAACATTTTAGAGGTATGAGATTCCTGCTATTTAGTTTCTTCGGCGGAAGTACTAAGAGTGAATCTATTGGTAATGGGTACGTTATGAATTTATTTTCAAATACATTTTGTATTCACTTAAAAGGTGGTGATAATTGACGTAAAAAACAAACTGACGCAGTTCATTATACAAGAGGCTCTGCACTGCGATATACATAAAAAGTAACAAGAGCTTTGTTGTCAAACTACCACTAATGAGGTTTTATTTCAATTATCGTTAAGACAACTAGGCTGAATGTCAACGGTTAATTAACATATTAAACTTGCATTATTAGTTGTATTTGAAGTAAATAATAAGATTTTCTAGATTTAGTTTAAAACACAAATTCAATTTAACGATGAACAGGAGATTTATGCGCTCACTGATGCACAAAGTCCGAACCTCTCTTCGTCAGCGCTTTTTAATAAATTGAATTTGCATTTACGAAATGTCATCTAGAGCGCGAGCGAAATCTATTGAATAATTCCGCGGTTCACATATGACTGAATATAATGAATACTATAATAATATTCGACCTAGAATAGACATCACGATAAGAAAAGAAACAATTATGTTTCTATAGCATTAATAAGCATATTTATCTAAATAGAAGTATCTAATAAAACGTTGTAGAGACAAAGGTTGCTTATGTTTATTGCCTCGGGTGAAGTTTGGTTGCGTCGGGACCACACTGATAGTGTTACCGCTACCTATTTATTACCTAGCCATCACATATTCATGAGCAAGTATTGAAGTTACGCTAAAACTACTTTGTTGCTAAAATTATATATCCTGAATTACGATATACTTTAGTATCTTTATTTCCTATTTTCTAGAATCGATTACTTTATTTTCTTTTTAGTATTTTTTCTCTCTTGCTATGTCACTTACAATATGTATTTGAATGAATACCTGCTGACTGTTAGCGCTGCCGGCGCCCTGGTCGAACGGAGGAAGAACTGAGCAGAGGCGCCTGCCCATTAGAGAGTACGATATCACCACTATACAACCTGCATAACAAATTATTAACAATTCAAACGACATTAAAGCACAATAATCGTTGAGTAGATGAAATGCTTACACAAAAACTTTTGCATAATATAATTGAAACTTTCCACGAAATTCAATTCAGCTTTTGTTGAATTTAACGCTTCTAAGACAATGAATCTACTTTTCAGTTCAAGTTTTTAAGTATAACGACGTCTGTATTAATTATGATAGTATTACGAGGGGATCGGATAGAAACGCCGTAAAACTCTTCAAAAAAGTAATTGAAATGTAATCAAAACAGGATTTCCACTACCACATTCAGCAATACATGAAGCACTGACACTAATCACTTCACACTTTCACATTACTTGATGGTCTTCCCTATTTGCTTCTTTTATCTCTTCGATGGAATCGCCCTCTAAACCAAATTGAGATTCCATTCAAGAATTGAGAATCAAAATGATTAGTGTCAATGAAATGTTAACAGCTCAGCCCGACCTTTCGCTTTTTTGAACGATTCAAGAACGATCGTGCTCTTTATCTCTTTTGTGTTCGTATACGGCTGTATCCTTCCTTCCTTGTCGTAAGACGTTCTAGAATGGTTGGAGTGGCCTCCAGGAGGTTCTGATCTTACCTCTCTTTCGCATATCATTCCTTGTCCCAATCCTTGGAAGTTTACTCTAAAATGTTTCTTCATGAAAGAGGTATCAGCAGCCCTGAAAATGCCTCAAACGGTAAAACTGAAAACAGTTCTTGTGTGTGATAGATCTTGTAACTTGGGACGAAAAATCGAGAAACATTTCATCAATGTCCCGTCCCGGCTTTGTAACTTGTCTTTGCCACACTGGCTTAAAACTAAATGCAGGCATTTTTTCCGAAGAACTTTGGATTCACAAGAAGTGTTTAGTAGATTCTATTTGTTTAAATGATTACCAAGCACAATCATGAGGAAGGGTACTGACCGGGAATAGCGTAAACGAGAACGAAACTAAAGGTGCCGTAAAGTTCCTTGCGAATTGAATCCGGCCACTTCTCCGTGCAGAACTCCACGTTGCGTTCGACCCAGTACTGAGGACATTTAAAATCATATTTATCAAATTATTTACATAAATAATATTATGAAAGTATATATAAAACAAAAATATGTTAACTTGACTATATAATAAACAAAACAAGTAACGATTAAAAGAACAAAACATGTATACAATAAAATGAACTTATTGAAAATGGTGATAAGCCATCTCGTATTTATACGGAGAGACATGCCATTTAAAATAACTGTTATCGACTTGATCTCTAGTTACAGTTGACAATGGCTAATCGGAGATAATATTATATTTAATTACCGGCGAGTGAGTGAGTAAGGTTGGGTCTACTCCCTTCGCTCTACAAACTATTCACATCGATTATAGAGAAGGCAATCGATGTCACGCTTGAAAAATAGCAGTCGATTGAAGAAACCGGATTTCAGTAAGGTTTCAGTACACTCGTTACATATCGATAAGTGTCGTGAGTATCAAAAAGCGTTAGACACAATTCATCATTGAGCAATATGGTCTGCTCTCAAATCACAGGAAGTAGAGCTAAATATAATGCAGTAATTGTAATTGTAACTTGTAAAGCATGGTAGAATCAGAAAATACTGGAGCACTCACAAGAATAAGACAACTAACTATTCTCAGCCGTCCTCGAGTCAGTATTTAGAGGGCTCGCTTGGACTTAAATCATCATGTAAAGAAGCAAGATGGACACCAGGATTAGGAACAATACGAAAGCGATAAACTGATGATATAAAATTCAATTGTTATAGGATCGGTACATAATAATAAACAATTGTAAATAATCTTTCGGATTTAATTTTAAATGCATGAAATAATACTAATATACTACGGCATATAAATAATTTAAATTAATGTTTCACATGATTTTTTGTTATTCGTACATAAACCCAAATAAATAATAATAGCTGACTTATGGTTGCGAAGCTCAAAAATATGCCTGAACTGTTGATAGATCAAATAAAATCTGAGTATTTTCTATAGAGCAAGTGTTGTAAACCTCATAAATCAATCCGTTAACAATTGAAGTGCTCGAAGCTCGTATTAAATAAATCCATTCATCATTGCGAACATTTCCTATTTCCTTACAATTTGTAGGTTTTATTGGCTCGTTCAATTTTTTAATGGCTCAGGAGGAGACAGGTATCATCACATGGAGTGGTGTCTTCGCTTTGAATGCACGACCTCATTTATTATTACGCAACTTTTCTAAATAATTATTCACAATTCATTACCAAAAATAACCATTTTGTTAATGTAATCATTGATAATTTTAATGACCTAATAATACATACATTGTATATCAATGTCAATAAAAATATTAAAAACAGATACTTCTATAGTTTCGTCTCTTACATGATGTGAACATACATGACAAAGTCCATTAAAGCAAAAACTTTGTTAGCATACGAGTATATTCATGTGTATACATAGAGACCATAAAAACAAAAAAAAACGTCTGTACTTTCGGCGTAACAAGATGAAAATCTTATCAAACATTTTAGTCTACGTTCGTAGAAAAAACGACACTAACAATAGAAAAAACTAAAATGTTCACTATAGCTAACTTCAGGGTGTCGGTTTTCTGTGACGGTGTGCGCGCGCATCGTAAATTTTCCTTAACGCGCCAAAAGAAGTATAATTTCAAAAACAAAATCTCTTTGCGTTAGCCAAACCTATACAAGATACTTAGTTATAAAGCTAAGCTACTTCATACATAGCTTGCCCTTGCAACATATGGAAATAACAATATAATGAGGTATGCGGCCCGTCACGTGACTCACACGGGCCGAGAGGCGTGAGCAGTCCACGGGCTGCGGTCACTGATAGAGCCGCTTGAGGGATTACCTGATGAAGACCGACATTCCTCTAATTAACAAGCATCAATAATAATTTATAAAACGCCTTTGTTCTTAACGTGTCAATATCGTTTCTCTGCAGTCATTCACGAGGCAGTTCACTCGAAAGAGCACACAAATTAATCTCTGCTACTTGAATTTCAATTGTTTATTTGCGTACAATATTTTGTGAAGTTTTCGCTTTGAGATCCCTTTAATGAGACGGCTCGGGTCTAGTTATTTATTCCTCGAGTAATGCTTTTATCGTGGAATTGAAGTTATTATTATAACTTTAAACGCTTCTTCTTCATAAAATATTTTATATTATTATTACCTTTTAACTACATTTTAAAATTACACGAAATATAATCCTGTATTATATATACATATAAATACAGGTTCGTCATGTATTCCTATTTAATTAGGATCGGGAGGTTCGGGAAACGATCTTATTCAACATAATATTCATAGGACTAGAAGGGAGATCACTTCCTTACCTATTACATATTATAGAAGCAATTAAGCATACAAGCAGGCATTGGATCTGTGCTTAATATGTAATAATTAGTGAATACAACCGAAGTTGTAAACTTATTATAACGACTAAACTTGAATATTGATGTTATATATCAAGTTAAAAGCACTCTGTTTCGTGAATTCAATTCGTTCAGTATGAAATTAATTAATTCCAAGAAGTTGAAAACAAATAAGTTTTAACCAATTAAATTATTCCACGAGCCACACATTCAAACTTTCAGATTCTTAAATAATGTCTTTAAGTTCATATCATCGCCAGTTCATTAATAAAACTTCCAATTGATTCCAAAATGAGGACTACTTTAATATAACATTAATCAAGCTACACTTTTGTAATGAATTAATCGTAATGGAAACAATAGAATCCTTTGACATCCTTCAGGCTTCCAATTTAAAGTTCCCCACTTCATTACTTTAATTTAAGCTAAGTCAATTCAATTTGTTTTTTATTTTATTTAAGAATTCTTAAATATGTCTCATTTGAGGTGTTTATTCTTCCGATTTTAATTTAAGCTAATAACACTAAAGATAAAGTAATTCCTTATAAAGCTGGGCTCGTAGAGATATCAACTTACTTTCGACAAACACAATCACAGCCCCACTGGGACGGATTTTATGTCTGTGCTAAAATGAAAGATATACGAAAAACTAAGTTGTAACATTTTTATTAATCACATATAATTATTTTAAGTTCAATAGTATTCTAGGCAGTTCAGGTCTCGAGTTAAATTTTATTTCGGAGCATTATTATTATAGCGGTATTTACTTATTAGAGTTTTTTCATATATTTACTTATTAATGCTTGTGTTTTAACAACCAATTCTATACCTTATTCAGGTTAGTATAAACTGACAAAGTATAAAAATAAATAAGTTTGATTTGACATCTTACTGTCACTCATTGTTTTCGTCAACGTAGTCTTCAGTAGAACTACGTATATTATTGTACAACACCACAAAGAAAATTCCTTTATATAAATCCTTAAAATAAATAATTTTCTCTTTGTTTTCTATTATATACACTATTTGTATGTATTTTATTTAATTTAATTTAATTGTCTTAGTAATAAATTGTAGATTAGTCATGTGTCGCAGAGTCTCGGGAGACGGAGAATGGACCTTAAGCGTTTTATCACGAATAAAGACGGCCAACAGTTGTCTTGCACCCAGTCTCGAGTCGAGGGGCGCTCTTTATTTAATTACCTCACAAAGACGTCTCTGAAATCGAAACTTAATAGAAAAATCTTTTGTCGATAAGAATTGAATATTAATTACATTTCCAATTATTTTAAAAGGCTACTATATTTTTTATTGCAAAAGTTTATAATAATTTGAACTTTTTTAATACCATAAAATGGTTGTATTTTAAAGGCAAGGAAAGCGCTTCTTATATGGCATTTTCAAAGAGTTCGATTAGTAAATAGCCATTACCTTCAACAGGACCAGAGTCGAACAGGACATATAGTATGTAGAATTACCGAAGCGTTACGTGTGGTGAGCAACACGGGCACGGTCTCCCGTTGTACGGCAGCAACGGCGAGCAATGGCGCAAATATAGCTAGCGACACCATCCACAGCGCCACCAGCAAAGCGCACGCGCCTCGTCGTGACGGTAGCCAAGCCGCACGAACAGATTGCGTCACCGCCAAATACCGGTCCACAGACATCGCTGTTATCGTGAAGACCGACGATGAAACTGCCACGCCTATTAAAGAAACTTAAGACTATTAATATGTTAGGATGTGATGTGTCTTCCCGAGTGGGTGAACCATGAAGATGATAAAAGCTTTCAATTAAGACTAAATAATTATTGTGTAGCGCTACATTGGCAATGAGGCATGAGTTTTTTTCGTTTGGAAAAAGATATCATCACCAGAACATTGCTTATTACTTTTACAATTGTAAAATAAACTGTGTATGTACTTTAGTATTGATGTTCTAAATCAGTTTGAATGGGTGATGCGTTGCGCTTAGAAATGGTATGTAATAAACGTTAAAAGATTGTTAAAAATAACTGAAACAAGAATAGAACTTAATTTGTCCGGGCGCCTCGCTTTACTCTTGGTGAGTCGTGACTTCTTTTAATTTTATTCTAAACTTAAATTTTCCTTTCAAGATTAAATTCATTTTTAAATAATTATTTCGAGGGTTAATTTTAGCTTTCTAGCGTTTAAACTTTGAAAACGTCGCCAACAAAGTTACACTTTTAAAATTACGTTTCAGATATTTCACCGAGTACGATAAATTGCCGGCATTAAGACAATACAGCTGTGTCCTGTAATAAAAAGGTTTTTAGGCCTCGTTTCTCGCAGGCTCTATATGAATCGAGAAGGCAAGTTTTGATAAAATACTATTATGGTTTAGTTTACTTGTATGGAAATATCACTACTTGAATGGTTTTATAAACATGCCTCGACAAACTAATTTGTAATTCTTAAGCGATCGATTTTGAGGTTTTAATGTTTGTTTGACATATTTACCTTGCAGAAAATTTACAGTCTTGCACATAAGCTCTCCGAAAGGCCAAAGCAGCGTCACAGACTTGGAAATCTGCACCGGCATACAGAACAGAGTCACCAACAGATCCGCCACCGAAAGGTTCACCAGAAATATATTTGTCACGCTGAAACAAATGTACAAAAATTAGCACGATGGTTACATTATATTTAAGCTCTCAAGAAATTGAAACCCGATTCACGTCGAGTTAGGCGAAATTGAAAAATAACGAGTTTTCATTGTTGGCACTTATAAACACGTTCCTTTAAATATAATCAATCGTTTAAACTGAACTATGCTATGTTAAAATATGAATTCGAGTATGTGATTCGCGTGATATTGATTTAATCAGAGTTGGATGTTTAATATCAATAAAATTTAATTTTTCGGATGTTTAAATGCTTTAAGACAACACAGCTAAGATATTTTATAATTAATATATATCAAGTATTAAGCCGCAACGAAATACGCTCCCAGTCGATTCACGAGACGCCCCAATTAAGTAAGAAAGCCTTAAAATATGAAGGGAATATACAAGAGAGGTTTATCGCTCAATCAATTGGGAAATTAACGAAGTCAGCCGGGGACTAGCTCCGAGAGCGTCACGCTCAATAGATATAATTAACGTTTCTTTTCAATCTCTGCTCTCTTACAATTATATAATTACACTAAATCAAATATTTCTCACATGTACTTTAAGAGACAATGAATGTACTACGACATACGACAATTGCTGACTAACTTACAAAAGCGTTGTTGCCCTGTACTAGTAGGCGCTGCGATCTTTTCTTGAAATCCTATTGTTACAAAATACATAGTTGTAATGCAATAAAACTAGACTTTACAAGTGTAATGTAAAGTAAATTATGTATGTGCCCTAATGAGATAAACAAATAGCAGCTCAAGAGTAAACTGACTAATTGGCCAGTAAATACAGACGATACGCAGGGCACGGTCTTCTTCAGTTCAAAGTGAACTCACTCACATTTACATTCGCTCTTGTAACGTTGTCGTTACTGCATACCTATAATATATAATTACTTATAATTATGGAAAAGACAAATACCATTACTTTACTTAGAAACTAAAGATAAAGAGAAAACAAAAAAACAATACAAAAACGAAACGAAAACATTACACAAACAGAGAAAAAGAATTCTTATAGGTAACATAGTGTACACTGACCAAACCCTCTTAGGGCCAACCCTATAATATAGATCATCAATTAGATAATGTCATAACATAACTGTGACCTGACGAGGCAGGCAATTGAGTATTTAAATTATTTTTATTTAGTAATCACGCTAGCTGCTAAATGCTGATAAGTGTGTTGGATAGTGCTTAGGATAAGAAAAAACCATGTAATTTATTTTAAAATTGTCAGGACTCCCTGAGAATTTTATTCCTCCTCCAGTCCATTCCATGGCACCACCCTGTATGGGATTACTTTGTACGGTGTTTAGTTTTTGTGAATGACCTCGATGATGCTTGTTTTCGTTTTAAATAAATATATAATAATTAATATATTGAACATCATAATAGAAATAAAATTGAAAGGGTTTTTGAACCGTCCATCATATTTTCGTGTTCCTAATTCTGACCGTTTTTGTTGCTCTCCGTTGTACATTTTGAATTAGTGAGATATCTTTCTTGAAATAAAGGTCACAGATAATATGTATGCATATTCAATCAGTGGCCATAAACCAGTAACCACCATATATATTTCCACCAAGATCTCTATATGTGTTTACAGGTTTATGTTATCGTTGTTCAAGGGTGTAGATTTCTCACCCATATCATGAATTCGATTATGGGAGTATTGCTAATTGTTTAGGGAATGATTGGGTCGGTAAATAAAACTCTTGACTTCTTGTAAAAATTGTATTATTCCTTGTATGACCTTTCGCTGGTCAAGTCCATACAGTTACAGTTCTACAGTAAGTAGAAGTGGTGGCGCGTCTCCTCACCTTACATTAATAATTTAAGCCTACGCCTAGTAAAAAGCTTGCGCAATGACGCAACAAATATATTTATCAACCCTGGTTACAGTTTATTTTTTATGGCACGGGTTTTCAAAGTTTAAGTGCCGGCTGCAAACTTAAACGCGTAGTAAGTTATACTATTGTAGATTTTGTATTATAGATTATATATTATATAATATATACACATAAAGATAATTATTAGATAACTCTTGAGATTCAAGAGAGGTCAGGAGGCACCATTGATAAGAATCTTTTTGCAATCATAGTTACCATTACAAAGCGTACCTCGCAACATGATAATTAAATCGTAGTAGGTATACCGTAACGTCAGCAACAGCTACAAATAAATTTCTAGGATCACGTCCCAATTCCAATTGAAGCATCTTGTAACATTGTCTTTGGTTTATGCGCCGAAATAAAGTTTGAAGCTATCACTTAATATCTTCAGCCTGTTCGCTAATTATTCTAAATTGGAATAGTTAGTAGCCCGATTCCTTTCGAACCTATAGGGTCGCCGCAAGTGGGCGATCCCTCGTCTCCTCAGGTCATCCGTCACCTTCAATCAGTCTCCGCAAACAAGTGTGACAGTGTATACCCAACGTTGCGTTACGTTAATCCATTGTCTCTAGTTGTCATCTTTGTTGAGTAAAATATTTAGTGGAATATTTTATATTTTGTAAGATGCATTGCTACACAATTTACCGAGACGGACTAATAACAAATTCTATAAAATGTTTTTTTTTTAGTTTATAAGTGGCCCGAGAAAGAGATCTGTTAGTCCCTATACTTTAAGGTTCTATATTCAGAAGACACAAACGTACTAATAATGTCATGTAGCTTGGGAATAAAAAAGTCCGCGCTGACTAAAAATGGTATTTCATTAATATGTTTTAATTTAAAAAAAACAATAAAGTGCAGTACATTGTTTTCCTCTCAGTTGACAGAGTTGCATAATAATACTTAAAATCAAAACTCATGCTAAAAGTAAACTATGGCTGCTTGATTATACGACGATTAACTACCCACAATTTTTATAAAAGTTGTTATTCGTTTCCGGGTCACAAGACAGTCTCTGCAGTTTCCCCGAGCTGCTATTGAGCCCTTCGCTCTCGTGGAGCAGAAACACTGCACTGACTTTTATTAAATGCAAATAAAAAAATGTCTAGAGTGTTGTGAGTTATTTTCTGCGTCCAAAATCAATCAAAACTTAAGACTGGATTATGGGCTTGCCGTCGCGAATTTAAAACCATCTCATTGAATTATAAATTTGAGCAAAAATCTACTTCCTTAGGTAAAACCTACGCGCACGATATCTTCGACTATGAAGCATTATAAAGTCATGGAAACATTGATATTGCGGATATGGATATATGAACCTCCAACATTTTGTCAATAGTTCCAGTATTCCACGAAGGTTTTATTCGGCTTTATTTTTTAAGATTTAAGAATTTTATATCATTAGGACTGCTTTACTCCAAACACTTCTCGATTTTTTTGCAATTCCTGTGTATTTCACCGTTAAAGATGTATCTTTGATTTATAATCTTCTAGATTTATCTAATATCAGTGCCTAATATTGACACTAAAATATAGTAGTTTATATATAATAAATGCGGCCTAAAAGAATATGTCTTAATTAATAATTTCTCAATAACATTATTGTTTTTGGTATCACATGTGTAGTGTAATAAACTAATTAACATTTCATACGTTCAATTCTCCGAGAAGTACAATCAATACAAATAAGAAATATTTCTATGTATTTTTAGTTTTTTTTCTGTGTTGACTGTAGGCGAACGTTCCATCTCGATATTTAGATAATAATAAACGACTTTATAATATTAATAAATACTGCTTATGAACATACCCTGCTAAACTTGTATGATATTTGACTGGTAATGAGTATTAAACACCTTGTGTGCACACATGTTGTCCATTACCATAATGACTATTCTGTGCTCAGGCACACCTCCCTCTGAATTCACTTATAACAGTAATACAGAGTCCAGTTACTAGATTGAAGTTAACCATTACTCCAGAATATTGCAGACCATGTCTGAAACCACTTACGTCGTTATCGCATATAAACAGACTTTAACCATACTAAGTTGGAATAATATTTTGATTCTTCATATCCTAGACCACATTTTCATATTGTTGGGTAAATTCAGAATACTGAATAATTAATTCTAACTTAACATGTAGCTGTTGAATGTATTCGTGCGACACGTAACGCGATACAATTGGAAATGCGGTTATACATTTTAGAGTATCATTAGACTGATGTTGAAAAGCGTTGTCAGAGAATTTAAACAAATCCGTAACTAATTGGAAAATCAATTAAAATCCGCATCAACTTTGGACAAGCAGATAATTTAATATTGAAGAATGACGAGGGATTCGGTTACGTTTCCGTACAGACCTCCGGGGTATTTAGAAAATCCCATCCATAAGAGACGGGTTCGATTAGTCGATCAAAATAATTACATTACTATGAAAACTCTCAAACCAATTTTTTTTAACTCGATGCCATTATATATTGTCAAGGTTTCTCTACGGAAAAGTTTACGTGTGTGTTAGATAAATGTAATAATGAAAATTAAAAAACCGCTTTAATAGTTATTACTGCTCGATATTTTACTTTTTAAAAGATAAAAAATATCGAGAAAAGACAACACTAATCCGGAACGAAGCTGCTGACACCTAAAGCTTCACATTTTGGATCGAAGGGTGAAGGGTGTTCGGATTAAAGATACCGTGACATTTTGCTTTACATGTGTATCTATTCATAATAAAAATCTTCTACAAAGCTATGCTTATTCGAAAACTAAGCTAACAAGTTTAAGTAAAGTTATTAACAGCCTAGAACTCCTGTTCATAGAATTTTGAGTGATAATCCTTCTTAAGTAGGTAGTCTAAGCTAATAATCTCGCTCATTTTTCTTGCCAGAGGTCTAAAGGTCTGCCGTCTGACAAAACCATTGGCACCTGCTTCTCATCTCGCAACTTTCTTAAAGTGATACTGTGTTAAGTAATCCAATGTCGTCGAATTAGGTGTCGTCCCAACATTCTTTAATCGACCATATAGTACACACTTTATTATATTTTGTAAGTAATCTGTCACCTGCTAAACCGATTTTTGAAATATTTTACCCAGCTGACATTAGTACCAAATCCCAAAAACTATTATGTTCTTTATCTTATCAACCATTCACAATACAAACCGACCATACTATTTCAAGAGTTTATTTGAAAATGAAATCTATAATAATCGCCAGCCGCCAGAGGTCCCAGCATGTGTAAACTTTTTCATTACGAGCTGCGTCATCATCAATCAACCAATTATACGCTATAAAGAAAATTCGACAGATTCGATCAGATCGCTCTACAGTCTCTGAGAAGTTTTCGGTCGTCGATGGACCAAATTTTATATTTCCTCTCCTCTCTGACCTCTTAGGACAGTATTTGTAAGGACTACTAGAGACTTACATCGTCATAAAAGATATGACCTTTATTCTCTCGAATATCTTGTTCCGATTCCCAAACCTTTTGGAAACTTGGAAACAATCATATTATTATCTTTTGTTTCCAGTAAACGATTAATTATTCATTGAATACTTAGACTTGGGACTTAGGTCAGTTGGAGAACAATTGATATTATTTAGTAACGAAAATAATAATGATTAAAATACGTTTTGAACCCGAGCCATACATCCAAATATAGCCAACATCTAAACAATAAAAAACATTCCGCCATTGCTTATAAGTATTGTGATTTTGAGATCTCAAATAATACAATAAATTCTAAAATTAAATTGTATTTAGTAATTTACACGTTGAACTAAATATTTACGAGTTGCCAAATGATCTCTTAATATAATAGGATACTATCTCCTAGTAAGAAGACTAGCAGTAGTGATTATTAACATTGAATGTATATTTCATCATTCAGTGGTACCAGTTCGCTGTCAAACAATTTAGTAATTTAAGAGACGTAAAGTTAAAGTATCTTTGAACCGGAGGCAACTTTGAGTTTGTATTAATTATACAACAATTACAACTGTTTGTACCGATGAACTTTACAATACTGATTAATTTACTGCCTTCATAACTTTGTGATAGCTTGAGACTCAGGAGCTATATAATTTCCTAATTTGTGGTACTCTATTCTGATTGTGCACTTGCACCTTATAAATAAAATGAGCGTGGGAGGGCAGTTGCGAATGCTAACAACTCTATCACAATCATCCCTGATGGTTATAGTTTGAGAAATGGTACGGCCTTTATATGCTAAGCCATTGAATCATACAATATGTCTGTAACAAAGAATTCGGTATTATTTTCCCGCACAAATTTTTATTTAATTATAATATAAATAATGGTAATTTTAAAAAGTAATAATTTTATTTCCAGTACTCCGTAGTACTGAGAATGAATTTAAATGTGCGAAATCTTTCCCAATGAATATAAAATAGACGAATTAATGCTACTTACTTGGAATAAATTTTGGACATTGAAAGTACTAGAAAGAAGTTTATGTCTAGAGTAAGTTGCCCAGATAACGTAAATGTATGTATTTTTTTTGCAGCACCCAGTGTCTTAGAATTAAAGATATAGAAAACTCTTACAGGAGCAGATATTAAATCTATAAATTATACCTACTAGTACAATAGTTTATCTTACTACCTACTTTGTAAGTACTTCATCTGTACCGTATTGTACTGTAACGTCCGATATCTTAAATAGACATAAGACTAAGTTAGAAGGTGCATAGACAAAATTAAGGAAACAGCAGGTGGTACATGGCAGTGCAGACAGGAATGGCGGAATTAGCAAGAGGCCTTTGCTAAAAAAGAGCACACAAATACCTAAAAAGAATGAGATAGAAATATAAATGTATAGTATCTGAAATAAAAGGCTATTATTATTATTAAAACCATATCTTACGACTTTTGTCCTTTTCGCCGGAAATGACAAAACATTTCAGACTTTAGTATAGATTTGAAGAGCTTCGCCAAAAGATACTCGGTTTATATTATATTATGTAACCTACAAAAAGTTAGGTTTATTGATTTATAAGTCTAAAATGTAAAGCAACATGGTCGAGATACTTATGCATATCTGCTATGCTTAGATTACTCCGCCTAACGCTTACGGCGCGACAAACGTGATGGATTCATCACAGATGGTGCATTAATAAAATAATAGCGAGTTAGTCGCTTTATTCTGACATAAAAATTAACGGCGATATAAAAAGTAATGTGTTACGGCGCCATATTTTTGGATCTGCTATATTATGGACTATTATTTGCGTTTAATACTCTCTCGTACATCACACGTCACAATCGCTCAATGAGTGTTCACAACGCCGACACGAGCTCGAG